TTTCTCAACCAGACTTTTAACCTTTTGAGGGTAGAGAAACTTCTCTCTGCCGATGACACTGTCACAGGTAAAACAACCAAAATCTTAATTAAAAAATTACAATTTGGATAGATGTCTTCGTCACATAATTTCAAAAGTTCTACATTATCCAATACGTTGTACATTGTATTATTACTGTTGCATTTGGCTTTCCATAGTTCAACTTCTGACTTGAATATATCTTCGTTGTTGTAAGTACTTATGTTCGTACTTAGTAATTCTGAATATTTTCCCCATAAATGTGATGTTACTCTTTGTAGTTCTTCAGTATCTAATTGAGATATTTTTTTTGGAAGTAAAGACGATAAAACTATTTCTATTGGAACAGTATTTTTTTCAAATCTTTGGTTGAAATCTGTAATAATGGCATCTAATAATGGGATAAACGTATTTTTTCTATAATAATCTTCAACTGTATCAGATGAGATGTTGGACCTACAAGTTTGTTTCACTGATAGTCTTGGCATACAAGGAACGATATTAATTTTTTCTGAAATGTCTAGAATGGTTTTCCAAATTCTATTAAATGTAATATTTGCTTGGCATCTTTCATTCTGTATAATTTGTTTAGTATTATTAATTAACTCAGTGGCAGTGTTCACATTCAAACTTTGTTTTTGGAGTGCTTTACTTAGGGAATGTGTTATTGTAAAAATTAAATTAGTAATTTTTACAGAGACGATAAAGTCAGTAGATGTTAAGCAACGAATAAAGCAATGTGATTTTGAAGAAGAAGTCACATCATCCCATGTACTTATACATTCTAAAGCCTGTAGTATTTGTAATAAATTATCATTAAAAAACATTAAAGATTCGTGTCGTTCTACCCATCTTGTATCACATAAGCCACTCAACTCGGAACCTAATTTTTGCTTGAGAACAAAATTTCTTTTGGCTGAACTATGGAAGAAAGCAATTATTTCTTTAATTGTACCAAAGCAGTTTCTAACACTTGAAATATTTGCTGACTTAGATAATACCAAATTTAGTGCATGACTTCGGCAAAGAGCTCTGGCTGCATTCTTTGTATGCTTCATTATTTCAGAAACAGCACCAGCTTGCTCTGAAGCCATGACACTACAAGTATCAGTACAAATACCAACACAGTAATCTAAGTTCAATCCATTTTGGTTCATTATTTTAACAACAGTTTTTCCCAACAAAGTACCAGTTATTTTCGGTTCAACATCATTATTTTCGAAATTAACTTGATGGACATCAACAAAGGAAATGAAATCTTCTCTGACTGAATCTTTGTTGAAATATCTTAATACTAAACTTAATTGGGAAATGTGGGATATGTCGGTGGTTTCATCAAACATTATTGAATATAATTTATTAACAGAAATTTGTTTTAATATTTTATTTGAAATGATTTTCCCACAAATATCAATCAACTCATTTTGTGTAGTTTTAGAAATATAAGTGGCCGTTTGTGAACTGTTTTGCAAATGATTTTTTAACTCGTTATCTCCAGCTCTAACATGCATTCTCAAAATAGCACGAAAATTCCCTTCATTCGTAATACTGGAGTTTTCAGGTTTATCAAGCAAATTTCCGTCATCTCTATGACCTTTAAATGGTATGTTTTGTTTACCCATAGTAATAATAGTATCAACGATTGGTAATAATCTTGAACGATTTTCCTTGATTTGTTTTAATCTATGATCATCTAATCTATTAATTATTTCTAGTTCTGGCCGATCGTACATTTTTAAAAAGTCTTTTGAAGCTTCAACTGAATTTTTATGATATATAGCATTTTCATGTTTTATAAGTGCTCCATCTTTACCAATAAGTTTAGAAAAGGAAATAAGAGGATATTTTACTAAATAGCCTGCTTCGCTGTTACATTTATAAGATCCTACTAGTTTATTTAAAGCAAATATGGTGCAAAATTTACAATAAATTCCTTTTTTAAATGGTGAGTATATTATCCATGTAAATCTTTGAAAATGATGAAATCTTAAATAATATTTTACAGTATTTCCTTTTTTTAAATGCTCAGAATATGGTAGCGGATCATTTTGATGGGGAATAAATGGATTTGTAAGCAAGTGTTTTTTTATGGTATCAGTGAAAATAGTTTTTGACTCCTACAAAATACCAACATCATTACATTCATTATTCACACTTTCAGGATTGTCAGAATGGAGTTGTAATAAATTACTTACATTTAATTCTTCTTCATCACCTTTACACTCAATTATAATATCTTCATATTGCATCTCTATTAACAGTTTTAATATCAAATATAAGTTAATAAACAATATTTTTTTTTTACGGATTTAGTAATTCATTAATACCTTGATCTATTACTGATTTTACAGGTGAGTGTGAGGCTAGGTGATTAACGTCATTTTCATTATTTTTTTGTTTTTTATTGAACATTTCTAGAATAGGATTAGACTTTCGTTTGGACATTTTTACGTGACAAAATTAAATTGAAAATACGGAATGGAAATATAATAATACACGTCACGCACTGACTTTGATGCGTAGGACACAACTAATCTGAAAATCTAAAGACTACAGTCTACAACTCTACAAGATATTTTATCGTAGATATACATACAAAAAGATAAGATAGAATTTTATTATTATTTATTAGTGTACTTGTGGTTTTAACATTTAACGAGTGTAGTTACCATGTAGTAAACCGTCATACCAAATCCCGATTGACAGTTTATCATAATTCATTTGGGTAGTGGGTACGTTTTTATCGTTATAACCGTTAACTGTTATAAGCTATTAATAAATGTATAGGTAAGACACAGTGGAACAATGTAAATAGATAATAGAGGAATACAATCTAGCGGTTCATACCGATATGCAATGATACGTAACGCTGAATATAACCTAAATATTATGTTGTGGTTTGATTCTGACAACCCATATCATGTTTATCAACATTTCTTACAATTTTTTTTATCAAAACGAAAAAATTCAACCGACATTTTTTTTTTAAATACATTTATAAAATTTAAATATAACAAGCTCAAGGGGGGGGGGGTATTTACCCTTTTACCCCTCCCTTGGATCCGCCACTGTCGGCTCTCTCGTTTCACGTGATTTGACTGTGGCTGGGGATCCATATCAAGATGATGGAGTATCCGGAATTGGTGAGGTTATGCAGTTGGTTCTGAATTTTTCTGCCGATTTCATTCGAAGAAGTTTTCGATGCTCCTTAAAGAACTTAGCGAGTCGCTTAGTATAGCTGCTTTGAGTATGCATCTTGTTTTGATGAGGTCTAGGGCGTAAGAAATTTCCGTTGCCTCCGCTGAGTATATTGAGCAGAAATTGGGGAGTCTCAGCATTGATACGTGGTCTCTAAATACTACTAAAGCACCAACTCCGTTATCCGTTTTGGAGCCGTCGGTGTATATTTCAGTGTGGTCGCAGAGATCGGAAGTGATTGATTGTAGGACGTAGGTGTTGGTTGAAGATAATGGGTGGGGTATCATTCTTAGCGAGTTCGCTAAGTTCACTGTTTACATAGTTGTTGAATATCCAAGGGGCCATCAGAGGGATTCTGTTTTTAATAACGTCTGAGTGAGGGAAATGAGTGTCTTCTAGGGAGTCAGTGATTGGTTTCGTTACTTTGAGATTGTTTTGGGTAAGTCTAATTTGGTGATATAAAACCAATCATAGATAGCAATTCCGGGGAATCAATAAGACCGTTCAGTAAATCAAATATGAACATAATATCTGCAACATTCCTTCTTAGTTCACTACTTGTAAATCCGAAAACCGAGTATTGCAAACTGGTGGAAGTAGGTATCTTCAATTTATAACATATAAGTTTTAAACATTTATTCTCAACTTTTTCAATCGCCTCTTTATATGAAGAATAACTAGGAGACCAGACTACAGAGCCAAACTCGAGATGAGATCTGACAAGAGAAAAGAATAATGTTTTAAATGTATTAAGATTTTTAAAATTTTTCATACTTCTATTAATGAACCCTAACATTTCAATGGCTTTTTTAACTATAGTATTGATATGTATAGAAAAGGACATATTGCTTTCGATAGCGATTCCTCGGTCTCTAACAGAATTGACACAGTTATCAATTTTATAATTATAAGAAATTGCATTATCTAATCAAGAAAAAGTAACAACACTACATTTACTTATATTTAAGGGTAGGTGATTATGACGGTTCTAAATTGCAAACCTATCCAAATTTGATTGTAAATTTAAAGTATCTTCAGGAGTTCTAACTATTGAGAATATCTTTGCATCATCAGCAAAAAGAGAACTTCCACTGAGCTATTAAATATGGAAGGTAGATCATTTATAAATAATATAATTAAGAGGGGGCCCAGATGAGAACCTCGAGGCACTCCAGAAATAACTAAATAGTCTTTTGAAATATTAAAAGACACTTTTACTGCCTGAGTACGAGAGCTAATATAAGATTTTATCCAATCTAAAAAACTACCATGGATCCCGAATAAAACTAATTTATTTAGAAGTAGGCTGTGGTTTATTTTATCAAATGCCTTTTGGAAATCAGTATAAATTGAGTCTAATTGGGCATGGTTATTAAGGGAATCAAGTATCTTAGACTGAAAAAGTAATATATTAGTCGAAATCGATATTTTTGGTCTAAATCCATGTTGGTTTTTACATATGTATAAAGACATTATTTTGGTTATTTTTTAGTTATAATTGCTTCAAATATTTTAGGTATATGAGATAATTTAGAAATCGGCCTATATTTTGAAACATTATGTTTATCCCCTGATTTATGTATTGGTGTGATAAAAGATTTTTTCCAAATATCAGGGAAATAACCTAAACTTAAAGATTTATTAAAAATTAAATGAAGTGGCTTAATTAATTCAAAACTACTTATAACATTATGATAATACTGCTACTTTAAAATCTTATCCTATTCTCTTTAAAATGTATAAATATCCATTTTAAAAATATGTACAAACTTATGTTTTTTTAGATCGAACATTGAGCCATGAATTAATTAATGATAATATGTCAAACATTGAAAGTTATATTAAATGCTTAAAACGAGAAATTATTGATCGTGCCCAACTAATAGATGCTATAGAAGTTGCTAAATCTTATTATAAAAAAAAAAATACAGAAATGAAAATTGTTGCTCAAGTAAAACCAATATATTTGTTTTTAATATGATATAACAGAAAACTTATATAAGAAACTATTTCAGGAATATTTCAACTACACTGAAAGAGTAAAACTTTTAAAAAGTGTATTGGAATTATTGGTTAGTTATTTGCCAATAAAAAATCCAATGTCTTTACCTCACATTAATGGGCAACCTCCTTCAGCATCTTCTGTTTCTATTGTAGACTTAAACATACATAATATGAACAATAATGCTGTATTAAACTCTGATAAATATACTATGAATTCTTCCATGATAAATACCATTAATGATACTGATATTGCTGCGCTCACTACGGTTCAAGGTACTTAAAATCACTTTTTTTTATTATGTTAATTTGGTTTATTTCTAATATTACCTTTTATTTAGAACCTTATGGCCCAGCTTCTATGAATTTTCCAGCAATAAAAAATCAAGATAAACAATCATTAACCAATCAGTTCCTAAATGATGCTCCATCACTGCCCCCAGATGAGACTTTATCATATTTTGCATTTCCTAACCAAACAAAGGTATCGTATGCTAATTAATACTTATATACTTATGATTCATTTATTGTACTATGATATGTATAATTATTTTTATTTTTTTTAGATGAATAACAATAATAAAAGTACTACATATTCTGCAAGTAGTAATGAAGCTTATGAACATACTCCAATGTCATCTACTCATCAATTTATAACTTCTGAATTCTCCATTAATATGGTATCTCCTACTAATTTGTCATCAATTGTAAATGAAAGTACTATGCCAGGATCTCATGTTCCACAAACTGGTAATTTCATTTCATTAAAATAGTTTTTCTTAAATATTTGTTTTCTTATGTTGTTCAATGTTTAAAAATGTTTGCAAGAAAAAATAAGTTTTTTTTTATTTTATTGTTTTGTATAAAATATTGAGCAAAAACTTTAGCTTCAAATCATGAAAAAATCATTAAGTATTTCCAACATTTTTAGCTTGCGATGTAACTCTACAAAGTGATTGGACAACCAATGACACGCCAGCATCTTCGCTTCTTCATGAGAAAATCTCCTATCAAAATACTCACATTATCAATAAAACTGATGGAGAGTCAGGAATTGATCACTGTGTCTTACCATCAAAAATAATAGATAGTGATGAAACAGTTTCTCCAAAAACAATAAATGAAACTTCCTGTATTGAACACAGAAACTTCAATAGTTCCACACATCCTACTAGTATGAATTCATTAACGGTATCTGTTGATGCTGATTGCCAAGCATTTTGTGATATTCTTGTACCATCTTCACCACCAAATTTGCTTATAGAAGCTGTCAGTAGTCCGCTAAAAGATAATTTAGAAATTGTTGATATGGATTTGAGTGACAATGATGTTAAAGATACTGTAGGAAGTGTTGATGTGGATTTGAGTGAAGGTGATGAAAAATCTAAATCACACCAAGATCAAAAATATCCTGTACTCTTACCACCACCACTTCTACCAATGCATTTTTACCAACAAAATGTACCATATGTTACATACCAATGGAAACAAACTTCCCAATCGTGGAGTAATGATAAACCAAATTTTAATGAAAACCAGTGGAATATAAAACAATCTGATCAATGGAAACATCCTAAACAGTGGGAACAAGATCAAAGGTTTTCAAACATTGTACATAATAATCCTTACAGTCTGCAGCCTCAACATAGTCAGAGAATCCAACCCAAAGAAGATTTTATGCCAAAATGTGAAAGAAGAATTAATATTTGGGCATCAAGAGATCCTAGAAATTTCATTTCGTATTCTAGACCTACTGGTACAGGGAATCAGGACTAGAGGACTGAAAAATCAACCTTTGTAAATTGTTATAACTATGTACAAAATAATGAAAGTTAAGAAAAGTAATCATTGTTATGTTTGATAATTTTTTTAATTTATTGAATTAGTTAAATGTTAAAAAAATAAATTTTTTTTGCTAATTTTTTATGCATATTTAAGATTTTTCAGCTCATATTTAGTTGATTTTTAATACATATAAATCTGCGCTCTAGTTTTCACAAACCAACACACTGATTTATTTATATCCATATTTCACAATCCTTTTATTATATTTAAAATTGATGTACAAACAAGTATGAACAATTAATGAAATTATTGTTGATTTTGCAAACTATTATTATTTATACACAACACATTGAAAGGTAAAAACAATGTTTTACTCATTGTTATGACAAACCAAGTTCATTACAACTTGTGACTTAGTTATATTTCTATAGGATGAGAATTATTTTTATATTTGACTTAATTATAGTAATTATAATAAATATAATTAACCTGTTTATATTAAAACCATAATATAATACAAATGGTGTATTAATTTAACTCTTTTAAATTATACAAAGTAAAATAAATTAATAAAGTAGGTAAATATTATAGGTATAGCACAAAAAAAATACAAATAATATATTTAGATCACATGATTGAGATATTTAGATTAGAAAAATTTCTCTCNCCAAACACTAAAACCCACTCATTAAAAACCTATCCATCCAAATATTACCTGGCAACCCCAGCCATCATTTAAAAAGGAGCTGGTGCCGTGACTTGTTCGCGAACTAATATGAAAGAAGAAAAAAAAATAAATAAATAAAAAATCATTATACCTATATAATATATAGTTAGATTCATACAACATCCAGTCAATTGCCACTGGTGAGTGGCTTCTTATCGCGTATTTCATGTATTGTGTAACCTTTATCAAATATGCTAATTGTGCACAATTGTACAGGTTGTATACAGTGAAACCTCCCTAAACGGACACCTCTAAATAGCGGACACCTCCAAATAGCGGACGTTTTTTCGGGGACGGGGACATTTTTACTATTTATGTATAGGAAAACCTCTAAATACCGGACACTCTAAATAACGGACATTTTTATGACACTGATATTAATAATTTTTATCTTAAATCATGAATTATATTGGAATACCAGAATAAAAACCTCAATTATTAAATTATCTTATGTGTACATTATTAAACTGTATATGAAAATCTTTTTTTTTCCGTTCAGTCACTTTATCGCGTCAACGAAATATTGTAACTAATGCATTGTTCTATGTGCGTTTAGTTGTGTTTATGATGCCAATATACGAACGTTTTGGCATTGCTAGCAGTAGAAGGCATACGTAAATATATTTCTTCTATCGAGATACAGAATAGTTCATTGTACTTAAACAAAGTGAAATTAAAAAATGCCCTAACACACGAATTAATTACGCCTGCCATTAGTAAACAAACTAAAGTAACAGATTTTATTCAGAAAATAAATGTTAGTTTTTATTTTTATCGTGTACCTATTTAATTAATGTAAAAATAATATAAAATAAAATTATTGAATTTATTTATCTATTGAAAAAAATGTTTTCCTCTAAATAGCGGACAAAATTTCGGAGACCGAGAGTGTCCGCTATTCAGAGGTTTCACTGTATATTATTGTTTTTTTACTGGGAAAAAATATAATTCACTACTTTTGTTTACTAAAACTGTGAGTGTATTGTACATCAAAAAAATATTATGCTGATTGTGATATGATAAAAATTGAATACACAAAGTGCTGAAAAAGTTGTATTCATCTTTAATTTTATAATTTATATAATTTATAATATGATACTATACACAACACTAGCCACTAGGTACATTACACATTTTATATTTTTTTTGTTTTTTATTATGATTTGTATGTAATATAATAAAGTTAAGCAATGAAAACTTATAAGAACAAATTACTTTTAGCTAGGTAACAAAATTTAGAGAATAAATCTACTGAATAAGAGATGATAATTGATATTAAATAATATGTTATCGTGTGCAGTTTTTACGATCACAAATTATTATCAAGTAGAATACTGTATTTAATTATCCCTAACCTAGTCATTAAATGCAATATTAATTTACTATTTTATTTTGTTAAATAAAAGAAACCACTGTATCCTATACATGTTACTTAAGAGTGTGTTTTGATGTTCCCTTCTATTAGTGAAATATTTGTCCATGAAGTGCTACCGTACAGTGTCTATACAAGTCAATCTTATTGTACCCCACGAGGTATAGGCCAGACTTCAACCCAAAACAAATTAAAATTTTCCTCATAATACATTGGACTTATATTTTTATTTCAAACAAATCTGAATAGTGAATATGTATGTTTTCTAGTTGCTATTCGTTTATAGTGTTTGGCAAAGTATTTAGTTTAAAAATAATCAATTTTGCTAAGAAGTATAAAAACTACAGTAGATTTTAAAATTTCATCTCTTTATATGTATAAATAAAACGATAATGTGACTAACTGACTGATCAGTTGAAGGCTTGAAGCACAGCTCAAACCACTAGATGGAACAGGCTGAAATTTGGCATACGGATATGGCTATCAAGACATCCGCTAAGGAAGGAATTTTGGAAATATAACCTCTAAAGGAAATAGGAGTTGTGAGAATACAACAGTGGTACCGTCTGTCCAGTAAAATTATATAAAAACCCAGTTTTAACGCATTTACTTAATTTTTCACATAATGCCAAAATTTATTAACTTGAAATTTGGAATATTGTAGTTCCTCATTGTGTGTCCAAAGGGAGATTACTGTTTGAATATTGTCCACGGAGTGCCTTTCTAAGTGACTTAATTGCAGGTAAATTGATTTTCACTTAATGTTACTGTCTTGCTAGAAACTCAATCAGGTTTTCAATTTTACACTTATTGGCTTTTACATACAATAAAAAACACCGGATACGCAACGGCACCAAAACATTCAATTCCTTGTATGAATATTGCATATACATCTTTTTTTAAATAACATTTGCCTGGACAATGCCAGATGGGATAGCTAGTACACTATATTGGTATAACACTAAAGGATAACAAGACGTTACTTATAATAATATATGCTTTAGTTTTAATGGATATAGGCTAAGGCTATATGATATAGCAATAAGACTTTATAAAGCAATAAACAAACATGTTATGTACAATATTATTGTAGTCCATACAGTTTTAATTATTATGAAAACGTCACACAAACAAGAGTTGTACACTAGTCTCTATCTTTTAAAGGTAAAAATATCAAATAATAAAAAATATATCAAATTATTATTAATAAAAACTAATATTGTGTTTCTATCTTAAAAAGTAAATGTAATTACAATTTTAGAATGCTCATAAACCACTTAAAAGTTAAAATATCAATAAAAACCCAAAAAATACCATCTTTTTAGTAGGAATGATTAAAAAATAAATTCTAATTTAATAATATAATAATAATATATTCATTCTTTAAAATTTTATAATAGGTAAATTCACTTTTATATCTAATTTGCAACACAAAAAAACAACACACATTGGTTTTACTAGAATGTATAAAATATGGAATTTTGTACAATATTCTTTACCCAAATCATTAATTTATTTATTTTTAACACTGAATAACCATTCAATTTAGGGTTGCCATTTATACAAAAATACAAGTCGGGACACTATAATACCTCCCCCCCCCCACAATACATTCTTTGGAATTTTTAATAATACCTTTTTTAGTCCAACGTTATTTAATATTTTTATTATATTATAATATTTTATAATAAATAAAAAAGCCAAAAATTAGAAATAGCACAAAATGTAATAATAGTATTATTATTATATTATTCATAAATATAATTTTAAATTATCTAAAAAAATTAATTAGGTACACAATTTTTAATTTAAAACAGAGTGGTCTTACTTATTTACTAATATATGTATTGTTTAAATATGCATCATTATTCATTATCGATTTCATCTAACTTCATTTTTCGATTTTTTTCATGTATGAGATCCAGAAGCTTCTGATTTTGGATTTGTTGTTGAATATTTTGCAGTTTTATGAACTCGGATGAGCAAATCTTTATTTTTCTAAATGTCTTCTTAAAATTTTTGGCATGGTTTATTTTCCAAATTAGTCTTAATGACTAAAGTAGCTTCTATTGTATTGATGCATAAATTACCTCGTGACTTTGTCCAACAACTGTTCATCAATGAAAATATCTCTCTACTGCAGCGTTAGATCCAGGCAATGCAAATACAAATTCTACAATTTTTAATAACATAGAATAATCAATATTATTCTGTTTAAATGATTTAAATCGGTCCTCGGCTATCTCAGAAATTTCCGACAATTATTTATTATTTGTTATTCACATTTCACACGTGAACAATTCGGGACTTATTTTAAGAAACCGGTACTTATCCACTTCCCGGCCGGGAAATGAAAAATATCGGGACTCTGTAGTAAAAACCGGTAGTGTCCCGGCGAAATCGGGACGAATGGCAACCCTAATTCAATTACATTGAGCTTATAAATTTTAACATAAAATGACATGGTATAAGCTAAATACAAATATGTACTCTTGTTTTATTCTTTTGTATTGTGCATTTAGAATGTTCAAAAAGGAGTCCACCTTAACATACCATAATACACTTATATGACATGTCAACATAATTAGAAATGTATTGAATTTTGTTTTCCATAAAAATATTTGAGTCGTATCAGGAATTTAAGTTAAAAAAAATATTAGGTATTTGCATTGGAATCATTTTATCGTAAGAAAAAGTCAATTGATAGTTAGTTTTGCACGTTTTCGAGTTGAGCCAGATTCTTCACTTTTTTCTAATGCCCTTTTTATACATCCATGCTAAAATATAAATAGTATATATTGATAAACAACATAAATATTAGTGTAACTAACATTAGATTTGTCAATTATTTATAATAATATAAAAAAGGATAACGGAATTAAAAAAAGAACAAACTTATATTTTATGTATAATTAGTTAATATAAAAGGTACAAATTAACATATTAAAATTAAAAAAAAAAAAATTAAATATATAACTATGGCTATCTGAAAAACAAAGTAATATTTCTGTGATTTTGTTGTTAATTTATTATATTCTGAATTAATATAAAAGTTAAGTAATTACAAGCAGCTATTAATTGAATCATTACATTTGAAAAGTCTACATTGTTACAACTTAAAAGTTGATGAAAATAGTTTATTAATTTATGCTTGGAAATCCTTACAAGTGGTAAGTAGAGTGGATGTTTATGCTACAAAAAAATTAAAAATATGCATCAATAAAATTCTTTATTTCAACTTATTTTATTTGTCAAACATTTAGAACAGCAAACACGGATTAAGGGGGCCGGGCAGGGTGGGCTCAGATTTGTCTAATACTTTATAGGCTATAACACCACCTAATTAATAAAAATCAATGTTAAATCTGCTGACGGCAATAAATCTGCACTAAGAGCATGATAAAGATAAAATATGATCAAGCAAGTAAAAATCGAACAAATATGCAAAACTAAATTGATAATTTTGAATTCTTTGAGTGATGAAACAAATTTCTATCTTGCTTTGTATTAATTTAGATGTTACAAAAAACTATGATCAATGCATAAACATCCATTCTCTAGTGATGAGCAATAAGTTATTACTAATAAATTATTAATAATAACCTATACTGTTATGGCTTAATGTATAGATTATACGATTATTTAAGACACTTTTTATTTCAGAAAATTCAAAATTTTTTTTTATAGTTTAATCATAGCTAAATAAAATATACTTAACCACGAGTTAAAAATGAACATTTTTAGAAACAATTATTTGTCTTATTATTTTCAAAAGTGTTCTACTCCTTTGAATGGTATGATATATTTTTAACTTTATATTCCGAAACAGCTTATTATTCCGAGTATTATGATCTATACAAATCAAATTTTGGACAACTAGTTTGTGAGTCTTAATTTGTAAGTATTTATAATTAAAATAAGCTAAGTAATGGATATTTTTGAGAATACCAGGGATACATCTAAATTGTAAATACTTTAAGCTCATTACTTGTTCAAAATCAGATTTTATACATAAAAGTGCTCAAATATGAAATTAGAAATTTTTTTTCTTTTACCACTAATAATTACGTAAAAAATACTTTCAAAAAAAAAAAATAGTTTTTTGAAATAACTAGTCTTACATAAATTAGATCTACCAGTAAAAAAATCATTGATTATATAATGTTCTCTTATTGTTTGAATATTTTATCATTGATTATATCCAATTTAATGTAAGAACAGTAGGTATTTTTTTTTTAATTTTATAAATATATCAAATAGTATTATAATATGTTAAAATAAGATCATATAATTTAAAACCAGTTAGCATGTTAGTATGTTGAATTATACATTTACCTTTCTATCCCAATGTTTATGCACAGACTCGAGTAATTTATGAGAATTGTCATTAACAATAACTGAAATTAAAAAAAAAAAATTTTAATTTTAAAACAAGATATTGTAGGCTTATATTAAATAACATTCATATATTACAGAAATTCTTATTTTTTTCTTCTACAATGTATACAAATTAAGTTAAAATTAACAGTTCTCAACACATATTTATTAGGTAAGTATTAGAAAAAAAAGTGAAAATAAAAAATATATAATCTATCCATACATATTTTAATATTTTGAATTATTATAGGTATTATCATAATGTTATTCATTAACTATATAAGAAAGACACTACTAATTCAATTTTACAAAGAACACCAAAATTCTATTCAAGAAGAAAAGACACATAAATTAATAGATTTCATTCACAAATGCATGTGACATGAGTCCTCCCCTCCTACGTTGGACTTAAACCGTTGACCATATTGATGAGTGAATTTACTGTGAATGGAGGTAGGTTAAGTTCATGCACAGGTACTTATTAAAGTACCTTCTCTTTTAGAATAGGGTATAATTTACTATAAAATAATAGAATTACTACAAACTTTGATCGGAAGGTTGATCTTTTGTTGCTATGTATGTTGATATTTTCCTGCTTTCACAATTTCTTGGTTTGAAATGGGAAAAATTCCCTTCTTTAAAGGACGGAAGGCCATCAAAGAATTCGGCTATAGACTGAAATATATACAAGTATAATTAAATATTGTTTTCATCTTTAAAAGATTAGAAATGAATTTTCTATTACAAGCAAATATTAAAAAATAAAAAATAGCAAGTGCTTTGAAAAAAAATAGATAATGCTTTATGTATGAAATTATGATTAAAAGTATTATTTATGATGTATAGCTATAAAATATAGATACAACACCACAGTGGCATACTGGAAAACATTCTGGTATATTAAATATAATCTTACTTTTTGAGTAAAAAAAACCATTAAAATGATTTTAATTTCTTTGTATAAAATAATTGTTTCAATACTAAGTATTTGAATTGCATCATAAACAATTATGTTACATATTTGGTAATAAAATATACATATATTATAAATCAAAGACATTAATAGAATTGGGATAGGTAGTATAGATACTACAGTATTTCATCAAAATATATAACGGTAGATGCCGTTTATTAGAAACACTTTTGAATCAAGGTGAAGTGTGTCAATTAACCAATTATTTCTAAAAAATATTGGTATTTTATGTCATGAAAAATATAATGTATTTATCGATGTTATTGCTCCTTGTTCATACTGGTGCAACACATAATTGTGAATCGCTCTTTGCCCTTTTGGCTCTGTCACTATCGAGAGTGTATGTGTTCCGAACAGCTCAAAAATAAAGCCCAGTCACGGTTGCATAAAAAACATCAGTGGGTGAGTATTAGGCCAAATGGTTTGATCCAATAAGTTTCAGTAGCGATTTTAACAACATAAGACCATGTAATGGCCTTAATTGTTCCAATAATCTAATTGATTTACAATCTTTTAATATATAACCGGTATAACCCAAGACATTGTGTTTCAAAAACATGACTGTATCCTTCATACGTGTTCCTAATTAGAAGCTTCTACTGTATCATATGGTATGCTCTAGATTCAGATTGTTTGAATTTAAAAATAGATAATGTATTGGTAGGTGCATTATAATTAATTATTAAATGTTAAGTATGCCGATAGTCACAAACCGATCACAGCTTCCAGTTGGAGTGAACTTCATATTACATCAATGTTATAAATAAAACAATCAATCTGCAATTTTAAACCACTTAAAATGGTACAACAATTTAAATATTTAGGAGTCATAATGGATCAGGAGTTGAAATGGTCTGAGCATATACAATTTATCAAAAATAAAATTCGGAGATTAATTTCTCTATTTTATAAAATTCGCTTTCTAAATAAATCAGTTGTACAGCAAATTTATATGACATTACTTTTATTATATGGTATAACATGCTGGGAAGGCGCCAGCAGAACAGACATAAAATCGGTATATAATGCCCAGAAAATTATTATAAAAGTAGCCTACTCGTTACCGCCAACATACCCTTCAATAGATATTTTTAAAAATACTAACATACTATCAATCTATAAATTATACATTAAACAAACACTTATAAAAACAATTCAAATGCAGATACTTAATAATACAGATATAATAGACAGTAGAACAGGTAATAACATAAAATTACCTTATACATCATTATCCAGTACAAAAAGTGCTCCCGATTATATGGTCAAAACTATATTCAACAATTTCGGAAATGATGTAATATGTAAAGAGTCTAATAAAGTATGAATGTGAAAATCAGTCTAATAAAAAAAATGTAAAAAATATAACTAACAAAAATTGTATAAAAAATAAAATTACTAAAATAGTAAATGACCTTGATGAGAATGTGTGTAAAAATCAATTATTAAAAAGTATCTATGTGTAAATATAAATGATTATCTATTAGTATCGTTTAGTTATGCAATTATAAGATAATGGTATTTAGAGAAGTAAAATACATCATTCTCAATTGTATAAGACACATGACATTTTTATTTTATTATATTATATAAATAATATGTACAGGAACTCCGTATACCAGAAACGAGCTTGCTCAGTTGGTATACGTATCAGCTCTTATCACTATTATTGTAATAATTTAATTTTTGTAATTTGATTATTGTATTGAAATAATGATATTGACTTTGCTGAAATAAATAAATAAATGTATTTAATTTTATTAAATTTATTAATTCTTACATGAGAAAGATACAACTTACTAACTAACAACAACAACGACAAAAAATAGCAACATTCTATATCAACTCTAGTCTCTATTTAAGAATAGAAAACAAGTGAGCTGGACCTGGACTAATCAATATTATACCAATGTTTTGCCAAAAAATATACCGTATTATGTGCTCTGGGTTCAGATTTTGTCTCAAGTTCACTTAAACCGATCTACAATCAAGAATTGCTGAACCAGAATATAAACCTAATACAACCTTCAACGGAACATGCGTAACAATATTTTGTGTGAGGTATATACCATATCAGTACTCACCATGTCGGTCGCTAGTCGCCACGTATCTAAGTAGTCTAAAATGTGTGTGGGAACCGGACGTTTGCTCTAGAACGTGGGACGTTGATATAATCCAGGAAAACTGAGAAACGCGAATATAGGTACACCTAGGTAGCGTTAAGTAATACTTGTAATCAACAATAGTATCCACCACCGTCCGCCCGATGAAGTACGATCCCGCGGTCAGTCAGCAGATTGGTTATGATTGATGGATTACTGAATAAGGTATTAAGGTATGAAGGAATAGCAATAATTATTAAACATTTTATTGATAATGAAGGTGAATGGGCCAAATGCCAAGGTTTGATAAGGAGGAGAGAATGCTGAAAAACAACTAAAAAAGTGTTGATAACTGACTGCAATCTTTGTGTGGTACCGTGCGGTGAATGGTCACTTGTCATTGGTGACGACCATATGATTATCAATATAATTTGGTATCATCAAAATGATAATCAAACAGTGGTATAGTTCTAATTACTATAAGGATTTCGTAATACAATGCTTTCCCTCGTGTCGCCAACGGTTTGGACAAGATTTGTGATACAAACCAGTTGTTGCAGTACATTTTTAGTCGGTTTTATTCGTATTTCGTATAAACATTAGATTGTTTAATATAATATATAGGTAGTTGATTGTTTGGAGGTAGGTCCAAGTGCAAGTGCGAAGTATGTGGCGGACACTACGTCATGGCATTACCGTGGTGGAGGTCCAGCGCTATCACGGATGATTGGACAGGTGTATGGGCACGAGAACGAACGCGGGTGAAATACGTCGACTGTCATCGGCATCGGAGTGCCAGGTCGTACGTGATGGAACGGTTCGACTCGGACCTAGAGCTTACCGAAAAATTGAGTTCCAAATCCCAATCAGTACTTGAAATTTGGGAAGTCCCTTTGAAAAGAAATTAGTTCACATTCATCTTGATATAAAGGAACTAAATCGTTCCTCAATAATTAAAAATTTTTTTTTTTAATGATTTGTTTTTAAAATGTTTATTTTGTTTAGTTCATACAATAATTAAAACCACCGTGACTGATTTGACAATTTATAAGCACATTGTCAATATTATCGTATATTGTTGTATGTAAGTTTAATTTGTAGCTCATTCAATATTGACTAAATTTAAAATAAAATAACATTTTTCATTATTTTAGCTTAACTTAGCTTACTTTAGCAAACCTTTGCAATATCAAAATTAAATTCATAAATAAACACACATTGTTGTTTTAAAGAAGGAAAAATATATTTTACTAAATGCTATTAAGTTCTAAATAGTAGAAGCTGAATTATAAATAAAATAAAAATAATAGTTTAATAATGTTTACAAATGATTCTAATGATTCTATACGCATGTTGATGTTGTTATTAAAAAATGATTCTATAGTTATAATTATAACTTGTATAGTAAAACACGTTTATCGCATATCGATAAGAAAAGTTAGTTTATTTTTCGATAACATAATAATTGGTGTACTAATTGAGCTATTCAGTGTTTTCCATACAACTTTTAACTTAATAAAAATGTTATGTTAGTTTGTAGTTTACAATTTTGGCAAGTATTCCTTCGTCATAAATATAGCGGATGCAGCCATTGCTTCGTACTTACGATCGTCTGTAGACAAATTAACTGTCATCGTGTCTTGTCGAAACAAAGATCTATTATATAATTATTATATCTTTTCTAGCTGATCTGTTGCACTTCGTTGCCCTTTAAAAATTCCAACTCTATGTGAGACTCATCGCTTGTGATAATGTGAGCACTATATTATCAGGTAGACCAATCTTGCGGACCCCACTAGGTGCACACTCTATATTAATAATATGTTTAATTTTAATTTTATTAATTATTTTGATTGTGTACATGCCGATGAGCGGCTTTAGGTGTAACTAACAGCCACCTTGGTAGGCAATGTACTTAAGTTCGATTTGATGCATTCTTAAACCTGATCTGCCAGATTAACCAATGGCAACCAAAAAATAAAAATAAATAACAAGTTCTACCAAAAACATTAAGAAAGTTGAGAGGAAAATGAGTTATTAATTAAAATAAACTTGCAAATTGTATACTCATAATATACATATGGCATATTGTATGGCACGGCGGCCCGCGGGTGACTTAAGTTTGTTTGACATTGCTTAAACTAACCACGATGAACAAACACTTATCAAAACACTCACTGAAAAATTTTTCATTAATCTTCCAATTGATTCCACTGTGAAATGAGCACTAAGAAAGTATAAATTAACTGTTTTATATCATAGATAGAAGAGATGGATCTGTCTTAAATGATAAGCGTGATGCCTTGACCAACGGAAATAGGGATTTATTTTTATATTCATAGATATATATATATTGTAGAATTTTACTCCTTGGAACAAATTCATATCTACACGCCGATCAAACACATAGTTAGACGGACAAAAAGTTATGGCTGCAAGTCTCTATGGAAACCCACAGGTCGCTGGTAAATACTAAGTGTGTATACAGATATACAATTTAATATTTATACGTAAACAATTTATTTTTGCCGATTTCAACCCTTTAAAATCAAAATTTTGAAAAATCCTTTCTTAGTGGTACTTGACATTATAATTTTAATCTATCCTCAAAATTTAAATTCTATAACACAAATACGTTCGGCTCTGCGTTGATTATTGCTTAAGTACTCTTTCCTTTATATATATAGAGATTTGTGTTTTTAATTGTTCAAAAAGTCCACCGCAAACTGTTATATAACCACCATTTAAAATTATTAACTAAACGATGTCTTACCCGAGGAAATATTTAAACTTATAGTATACTGTATACCTATACTCATATTATGTTTATGTAAGTTATAGGTAATTAGCCTAAATATATATAAAAGTACCTAAGTATTAATTCAAATAAAAATAGTATTATAAGCATTAGAGTATTATACTTATAATTATCTTCTTTTGCAGCCCAATAATAGAAAAATAATTTCCATCTCAACAATAAATAAGTGTTGTAAGTAATATTGAGTTTTGAATTTATCACCACTTATGTTTCTGTTTATAAAATTACGACCGATTAATCCATATATTAACAATAATAATTGATTTTCAATGAGAAACATACCATATAATAATCATCTATATAAATACTTATTTATAAACTTACAAAATTTAAAGGCCCATAGAATATATTGTTACATAAATAATAAATGTATCATTAGGTACAGTGTCATGATCTTATGGTTTCAAATGTTTTTGATTTAGATTCTTAGCAAATGCTGTTCAATTTTTGTTTTCTATTTATTGTACTTTTTATCTTCAGATAAAATAAACACGGAAAACTCATAATCATGGTCACAACAGCGATAAAAATCCCAAAGCGGTTGATTTTGCATATTATCATTACTGAGTATGTAAAAATTTTGGACTTTGTGATGCATTCATTTACCGAATTTTTTTCGTTAGCTAAAGTACCGCCGTGCCACGGCACCATAAAATTTTCAATTATCTGTAATATCTCTGTTCCATGTTTTTCATTTTGAGTGAATGCAAAAGCCAGTGTGCGGTTGTAAAATGACATTTCACCAACTAATAGATCGTAATTGACAACGGTCGCAGAACAAATGTTTATAACGGATGAACAAAATATTATATAAAACCCAATCATTATTATAAACTACAAGAATATGAAAATATATGGTCTATTTTGTATATTATGTATATAAGAATACATAAGAATAAAAAACAATTATAAACAAAATATTTTTTCGTTATTTTAAATATTAGGTATAATAGCAACAGTTAATTAATTAAGCCATCATGATATTAATTGAATAGAATTCTCTGGAATTTAAAGCTATGATTGTACTCAAAAAAAGTATTGAAAACAATAGAATTAGCATTGGTTATTATTTTTTTCTTGTAATCATCCGTACTATAAACAGCTGTTTATTATTTATTTAATTATTTCTATATTTTTTAAAATTTAAAATTTAATTTTTATTATTTATTATGTTTATTAATCTACATTTCTATAACGTGTACTGCAGTGAGACCATCATAGTGGCACATGTTTCTTTTCTTGATACATTTAAAAATAAATTTACAAATACATTGATACCAATATACTTAACATTGATTTCTATGTGAAAAGCGTAAAAGGTTAGTGTGTCAAAATTCCAATTCAAATATATACATCTGTCGTTTTTATTCGCAAGTTTGAGTTATTATTTCGAAAACAATAAACGATATGGTAAAAATCGGATCCTCAAACGTCGAAAATGATTCGAGTAATTATTATGAATTTTAATATTATGTAAAAAATTAAATGATAGTCGAGATTTATTCAAAAACAATATAATATACCTATTTGGGGTTTCGGAAAAAGAAAACTAAATACCAATCACTCTATGATTTTATATCATACGTATTTTACGAAAGAAATACTTATACTATACATAATAGATCATAAACGTATTGTTTTCAAAAACCATTTCGGACGTTTGTGTCTATATATATCATCTATTCATACAACAGTTTTTGACAATGTTTCGGGCACTCCACGTGTCACTGGACGAAGAGGCCACTGCCAGTGGACACCTCGAGTGCATATACAGTATTCACACGCCGGGGCTTTTCTTATGACAAAGCGGTGTGTCAATACGCCGTGGCCGACGGTCAGTTGGATTATCTAAGGTACGCCCACGAGAACGGTTGTCGGCGGGAGTGTGCGACGAGTCGGCGGCGTGTGATCTGGAGGCCATCCTCAACAGCTTACGTTACGCCTGTAACACTGGTCAGGACACTGCATCTGGAGTTCACCTCTGCAACTGTTTGCGCTATGCCCACGAAAACGGTAGCATACGTTGACGGAACAGACGTGTACAGATGCTGCATTCAACTGCATAGTAATCTTGTCTGTCTGCAGTATGTCCAAAACAACTGTTGTCCACGGGACTGCAAGACATGCGAGTTAGCCGCAGCTTCAGAGCACGTCATCCTCCTACATAATGCACTCAACAACGATAGTCTATTAGTCTGTGAGGTGTGTAGCCGCCAGCCGCATCTTTCTAACCTCACCCATCGTATTATTATTGTTCCACAAGTAATAAACAGTCATAGACTTGAAACATGACCCATACAAATATAAATTTATAATTTTTTATTAAGATCTGTCAATTATTAATTTCATGACCCCGCCATTACCTCTTCATTGTCAAAAATGAGCCACCTAGAAGACGGTTGTCTGTACGGACCACAGAATTTCAGTATTTTAACCTCCAATACGACCCACTATCTGATGGTAAACTAATTTCAGAAACGTTT